AATCATGCTATTTATGCTACCTATGCACCATGCTAGACAGTATGCACCGGATCGTGAATACCCCTATTCAGATTCGCAATAAGGGAACATCGACAACGTCTGCATAAGCCACAACTTTCAACATTCTCTTGGATTCTACACGTACTAGACATACATATCATGTCAATGTTTTTGCGAAACCGCCTATCTTACTGCACTCAAATTTTAGAGGAGAGCGAAAAAACGGGTTCTCTTTGAAGGCATTGCTTTGATAGGCGGTATTTTCTCAAGCTATTATTTTACAGGTCTGTTGTTTTAATAACGATTTTACGATTCTTATGCGTAAATCTCGATGCCTGGAGTTCAGGGTTAGCAAATCTCATTTTTGTCACAATGGCGATTTAGGCGGTTTTGAAACTGGTTCCTCGATATGTATGTATGTAGAATCTACACTTACACTATGAAAGGCGCATATATTATATAATTAAAAATTGTAATATCCTCCACACATTTAATACTTTATTTTTTATTAAACATAAAAATCGTTATTATAGGTTTAGCTGATTCAGATACAATTTTTTCCAATTTACTTTTGTATTCATTTATATAAACGATTATCGAAACGATCTAGGATGGGCACTTTATTATTTATCTATGTATGTACTTGCATAGCTACATAGATATCTACGCTGTTTCTACATCATAAGTATGTACGTAAGATGCCTAGTATTAATATTTAGTTGTTTAATAAATAAAAAGACAACTAACGGTTAAACCGCAAACTGGTGGTTGCTTCGTTGTACTTACAAGCTGTAAGTATAAAGATGTTGAATAATGCCAACCGACCCGACTTGATGCTGATCACCTGCAATCGGACTGCTGGGTAAAAGGTGATTTGTGTTGCAGCTGCGGCGCAGGTGCCGAAATAACTACATATCCGCAATAAAACTGCAAATATATATATCTGCATATATAATTATGTAAATAGTCGACATTTTTAATTTATTCTCAACGCTGATCATCATTAATTGAACATTTAATGTAAATAACTTGTTACGAACGATCTCCGCGGAATTGTTGAGGCGCCTGCATTTGCTCGCATACATACTAAGTGCTAGCTATGCACTACTACACTTTCGCAAACATGTCTTAAATATATTTTTTGATTAATGAATTAATTTATTTATTTATTTCGAACAAATACAATTATAACTAATTAGATTACTATTCTAAAAAGGCACTAGTAACTAAGACTATCGGCCATAATTAATTTTCTACGAAGAAATGCGAGAATGAGTGAGTTTGTGTCAACAGTCTTTCGTTTTCATTGGCATGAACTATCTATGTACATAGGTTTTGAATCTTCATTTCAAAACAGTTCGTATTTTATTTGGAAGTATTTACTTGAATCGATATTGTTGGAAATGTTATTTAAGGCTCACATTGTACATAATTTATTTTATTTCACCATACACAATATAGGTAAATAAACACATACATACAATTGTCCACAAAACAATAGAAGTGCGATATTTTGATCAGTTTTGACACTTTTTTCTTTTTTTATTTAATTATTTTTTCATAAAAGTCTAGCTGATTATATAAAAAACACCGTATAAATTTACAGTTAAAACTTTGTACAAAAAATTATAAAAATTTAGCAAATCTTTACCAAAATTTCAAACTTTTTGATCATGATCTTTAGAAAAAATCTTGGTAGGTAGTTTTGTAGCCCATTTGGTTCTAGTCCAATGAAGTGCAAGATTCAAGTTGGTAAAAAATCCCGTTGATTTTTGCGTTTTTTTTTTTTTGGTTGAAGGGGTTTTTTCCATGCAAAGCAATTTTCTTTTATATGGAGGACACTGCCGGCGAAAATATTGCCTAAAGTTAACGGAATTTTTGAGCAGCTTGAAACTTACACTTCATTAGACTAAAGTTAAATGGGCTACAAAACTGCATGCCATGATTTTTTCCGAAAATTAAAAAGATTGGAATTTTGGTGAACAATTTCTGAATTTTTATACAAAGATTGAAATCTGAATTTATTTGGTGTTTGTTGTATAACCAGCTAGACTTTTATAAAAAAAAAAATAATAAACAAAAGACAAATAACCGAAACTGATTAAAAATCGCTCTCCCATTATTTTGTGGACCACTGTATGTATAGTATATGTACATATGTACATACATAGTTACATTAATAATAAATTTAATGGTGTTTTTAGAACGTTGTATACCTACATATGTACATACATATATGTATGTAATTTAGGTATGCATAAATACGGGCTGGCTTTAGTTTCATAAAATCATTTGTTAAACGTTTGAAATATTGCCAAACGCCTTTTGCATTTACAATGAGACTGCCGATTATTCGCTTCGTTTAGTATGCAGGACATATTGCTTTCTAATGTTTAACTTTTGTATCTATCACATGTGTGCCGCATTACCGGCATCTTGTTGTATGGTGTGTGCGTAGCTCGTGAACATTTTTTCAAATAACCTCATGCACTTGAAAGTTGACAAGTTTGTTATGAATTTTTACGTAGATTTAGAAAAGGTTCACGGATGGATGGCGTATATGTAAATTAAATAAATGTGACAAAGGTTTTTGTAAATATATTTTCACCTTGCACGTAAATCAACGGTGTGTTTCATTATTTAACACTAATATTGTAAGTTTTTTATTTAATTGTTTAACTTTTTAATCAACCTGCAGCGTTTCATTAAACTTGAAAACAAACAAAAAATATTTTTTTTTAAATATTTATGCTTACAGTTATTCGAGGGTAACTAAAACTGCCTTTGAATACCTAATACCATGTCCCCACCGGAGCTAACCACGTAGTTATGGCTATTTAGTTGGTTATCCCGATAACCCACTTGATTTAGCGTAGTTTCGCCATATAAAAATGACAGCACTTAACCATTTCATTGAGATGGTTAAAAGCTAACCAACTCGACACCACGTCGAACCACGTCTGATACAACCCTGTGTTTTCTCGCCATCTGTGGGTCATTAGCGTTAAAATGTAAAGAATTCGTTCGTTCGTAGTGTTTAGACTCAACTAAGATCAGATTAGATTTATTCCGGTTTTTGAAAAAATTTTAAATCCACTCCTCTACTCTGCTTGACTTCAAATCTATTCCGTTTTTTTCATTCATGTTATGCCCCTCTTGGGACCGTTTTTTGAATGTTCACCACTGGTTTCAGCAAAAAAAATTGAAAGTTAGCCAAATCTCACTGTTAAAAAGTAACTCTTTCATAGCAATGCGTCAATAAAGTAACTTCGTTATTTTTTGATGTATGGCTGTACAAATTGGCGGATGCAGAACTTTACTTAAGTTGTTAAAAAATATATGTAGAATGAAATTTATATAAAGTAGAAAAGGTTTGCTTTTCAAAAAAATTAAGTGTTAGATACGTTCTACTTTATAGAAAATGCTAAAAATTACCTAAATATGTGACATATTATCCTTACATTGCTTCGCGTTCTTATTTTGCATGAATAGAAAATATTTTAGTCAAACAATTAATGTCAGAAACAAAAATAAAAAAATTCAATCTAGTACGGAAAATTTGTTTTTGCCCCGATTTTTGCAGCGATTTAGTACTGAATCGAGTTTTGGCGGTCCGAACACTGTTCTGTACATTTGTACTGTTTTATAAACCTCAAACCGCAGTGTGGACAGCAATAGTTAGTGATGTGGTTAAGTGTTACACGTTCCTCTAATGCCACTATAGTATGTTAAAGCGGATACGTCTCTTAATTTATAACCTTCCCAATGATAGCTAGGTTATGTTAGCAGATTGAACAAGAAATAGGGAATTCATCAGAAATATCTATCTATTTTTGCCACTCCCACAATTTTAAGGAAACAAGTTTAAAATACATATGTAAATTCTAAGTAAAGCTTTTTACGTTTAATTTCGAATAAATAGATCACTTTAAAGTTTTCCCGAATTTCAAAATATATTCGAAATATTTTAAATATTATGTCTTAAATCTTACCCTACATCCCTAAGCGTTTTTCACATAACTTCACGCGATTCTTAGAAATCATATATATATATATGTACTGTATGTATGTATGTACATACATATCGAGCCCTAACCGCCAAAAAACGTAAGAGATTTTTATGCTCCTAGAGCCTCTAGGTGAATTACTGCATCAAACAGACCATTTTGAACGAAAATGTCGCTTACGTTTTATTGGCTGTTAGGGCTCGATTTGCATTATGTAATTTCGAAATTTGTGTAATGAAATAACCCAATAAACATTGTGGTGAATATTCGAAAATGACCTTCGATATCAAAAATGCATATCGAACTGGGAACGAACTCATAACCAACCTTAGTTTTCCAACGTTCATAGTATATTGGAAATACATTTGAGATGGATTCGAAAAAAAAAATAGAAAAGCTAGTAAGTAACAAGAGAGAAGCGAAATCCAGCCAAGGCGAATTCGTATAAGGTGGTAGCGGTAGTACAGAACAAAAACTTAACATGTATTTTGTTTTCGCTTTCGATACACAAATGTCAAAATTTCAGCTATTCTTCGCTCAACGAAGAAGAGGGAAGGAAAATTTCAACATTCGCCTTTCTTACTCACTCATAAGAAACTTTGGCACGTGTCTACCGAGGCGAATCAGATCAGCTGTTCTAGCAACACCATTTCATATAAATTCGCCTTGAATATAAGACAATCACTCTTCCTCATTAAAATTTGAATTCCATAATGGGCTGGATTTCAAGTTCATAACGAAGGGAAATTACATTGGATAACGAAGGTTCCGTTGTGCTGGAGAATGGCCTAGTTCTCGAATCGAATACTAACCTATTCCAAATGCGTTATCGAAGGTGAGACTCGAAAAAAATATTTGTTTTCCAGTCATTTTCGAATGTGAACCAAGCCCAATGTATATTGGAAAATTACGCAATGAGCGAAAACGTTGAACATTGTCTTAATAACTTTACAGTTTACCAAAACTTTTTCTTGTTTCTTCTCATCTCCGTAGAACCAAAACCGCTCGTCACAATCGGCAGCTCAACCGATTTAGACACTGAGAGCTTAGACGAAATCAATTTGAATACAACGACCGACGAAACGCAATCGGCAACCGACACCGCTGGGCTCAACGATCCGAACGCAAACCAACTCTGGT